TTCAGTCTGCATCATGCTCATTGGCTAACGAAATGATGACATCGGTGATACGCTTACGGATTTCGGGGTCGAAGCCGTCCTTGGTCGACGACAGCTGACCGGCACGGTAGAGATAGTCGAACACTATCGACGTACACAGGGCGTACTTCAGGCAAAGCATACGCGGCAGTCGTTGGTTGCTCTCCAGCAGCTTCACGTACTGGTCTACTTCCGACAACACCTCGCGCCTTTGTTCGCGCGTCAAGCCCTGCAGTTCAATTCTCAGTTTTTGGTATAGCTCAACCATATTCATGGCCACCTCGAAGGATGGCGTAATGTTCGTTTTCTTGCTCATAATTTGTAAAAATCTTTGGTCGTTTAACATACACTGAAATATCTGATACTTTCCCACTCGCGGCGCTTGATGAGTCCGGGCAGCGTGCGCGGAGGATTGCCCGCATAGACCCACCGACGCCACTCACGCTTGATGTCGTTCTCGTTGCGTCCGTCGCGAATCCACTTTAGCAGCGTCGAACGCCGGAGGTTGCCGATGCCGACGTTGAACACGAACGACACCAGCGCGTCCAGCTGCGGCTGGCTCAGCGTCAGGCCGAGCTCCTCAATCTGCGCCTCCACCTCCTCGATGTCCTCTTTTAAGTACTCGTCAGCCCAGTACTGCGAAATCTTGTCGCCCGGCTTCACTTTCTTCGTGTGGCCGTAGCCAATAGTCCATACCTCTGCCGCGTCCTGATAAGCCTGGAGTCGGCAACCTTCAAAAGCCTTGATCTTCTCTAAAGCCAATTCTGAAATTTGCATAATAAAAAACTTTGGGTCGAAAATGTTAATATTTTTACCTTTTTACTTTTTACCTTTTTACCTTTTTACCTTTATTTAAATCTCCTGCCAAGCAGAGTTAGATGATAGAATGCCACGTAGCGGTCGCGGAAGAAATAGACATGCTGCGCGACTTTTATCCTATAGCCGCCTCTGTTTTTATACACTCCCGGCAAACCAGTGTCGGCGTTAGCCTTCCACGGATAAACCATGTTCCGCATATTCTCCGATTGCGTCACCTCGCGCAGGTTCTCGATGCGGTTGTCCATGCCGTTGCCGTTGATGTGGTCAATCTGCAACGTCGGGAAACAGCCGTGGTGCCAAGCCCATACAGTATGATGCACGAGGAAATTATATTCACGGCCATTGACAGTTAATAGCATACGCATATAACGGTATTTACCGTTTCTTTTACAGTCCCTACGACCTCTCACCAGCCTGCCAGTCTTGGCGTTGACGAGCCGTCCGCTGGCTTTGTCGTAGCCGTAATCCCGTTGGATGCGAGCCGCCAGTGCGGTCAGCTCGCCATCCGATAGTCTTGATCTAATCATACAAACGTTATTAAATTCTTCATCCAAGCGTCCCTTAATTCCCACTCAGAGCGATACAAATCTTCTTCCTCGAATGGTGCT